GCTACAGTAAATTTAAACTACATTAAAACATAACTAAAATAAGCTGATGTCCTGTCCGTTCGTTCACCATACAAATACGCTAAAGTAAATTTAAACTACATTAAAACATTACTAAAAAATTGTTGCCCCCCCCCCTGGAAACTTAATCGATTTTTTTGCCCCCCCCCCTAGAAAGTTTTCTGTGGGCGCCCATGATAGGAGATAGAATGATCAATAGCCTACATTGATCGTGGGCCCTTAATCTATAGAAGAAGAGGAATTCAATCAATAATAATATTTTCTACAACTTGAAGAATGAGATAGATTTTGTTTTAAATAAAAAAACCCACTTAAATTAGGTTAAATATTAAATAAACGTAGAAAGCTTGAAGTAGGTTAAAAAAAATACATTATATTCCTCATAAGTAGCCCTACGTTAAATATATTTTTAAATTCCAAACCTAGGAAATTTAAAAGCGCTTTCACTTACTAATGTTAAGCTTAATGATATTGATCTCTTATAATACATTTCAGCTTATAGTAAAAATCAAGAATCGGACTCGTTTGGTAAGTAAACAAAAATTTGGATTTGTTGACCTTTTTTTTTAAAAAAAACATATATATATATTTATAAATATATTATAAATATACAGCCTTTGCTGTATAAGATTAACTTCCTCAAGTAGATCAGCCCAAATGGAATTGTAGTGCTCAAATGTTAAGGGGCGGTGCTAGGGGCGAATCTGTGAAACTATTTATTTTGGAGTATTTATTAGTTTTAATATATTTTGATTCAAAAACCATTTTTGTTTTTTACATTTATTAAATAAAAGATATTAGATAGGGTTTGATGACTCTGGCTATAACAATAGGATTCTTTGATGTCTTGCAGCAGAAACAAATGACAAGGAATCGAGCGTAGACGTCTTAGGTAATTGTTTCTTTTTATATGTTTCTCTTTTTACTTTTTTTTTTTATAAAATTGAAATTGACTTAATCGAATTTGTTTTTGATTTTTAAAAATTAATTGTAATGTTTTTCTTTTTAAACTTGAATGATTTGGGGTTTTCAGACATGGAATCAAAGTAAGGATTGGATTCATAAATTGATTGTCGGATAAATTATAGTCCCGAAGTTGGAAATCCAAGGTCGGTGGAGGACAGTGCAGACTCCGTCGTCATCATGTAAGAGTGTAAAGAGACACGTGGTCGCCTATTAGTATGTTCCGGCTTCCGTAATCTTACCTCGTAGACCGCGGGGGTTGTCCCTGTCTGCGGATGTGATATATACTAAAACAATGGCCAGTTCCCCCCCCCCACCCCCAACCCACGGGTGATGACAAGGGTAAGCTCCTGCCAGTGGGAAACGGTTTTCTGGTGACTTTTGCAGCATATTATTCTCTACGATACCTCCAGAAACAGCAGAGTTTTAAATATTTGAGAATCTGTGACATATTACAATAAAGGTCAGTTGAGATACAATACCGCACATGCTGTAAAAAGAACAACACACAAACATTTTTGTTTGAGTGTCATCATACTTGAAGACCTGCATCACGTACCACAAAACACGGAGCCGTGGACGCCAGTAGGACAGCCCTGTCTGCGGTAAAGTTGGGGTGAGGATCGCACTGGTTGAACCCTCCTGGGGGTGGGGGTGACACCGAATGGAGAGACGCTGATTTGGCGGCGAGCTCGCAGTGTTGTTAAACAGATCTGAGTTAAATCCAAGAGCGGCGTGCCACCTTAAGGTCATGGTGGTAGCTATGTTATTATTGTGCCCCCCGCCCCCCCCCCCCGGGAGAGGGTTGTCAGTTGGCGACTCAAAAGGCTTATTTGGAAGTCTGGTGGTGTGACTCCGTGAGTTCACCGCTCTCGGTGACACCAACCCTACTGACGCCACTTCCCGTCTGTTGAGGTGTAACAAAAGGATGCGGCTATTCGGACCCGATATCAGAAGTGAGAGGTTGGGTTTATTTTTAAAAAAAATTAAAATATTATTGTAGGTTTTGTACGACGAAATTTGGTATTGAATAAAAGAGAATTGAATGGACTCTATGTTTATAAACTTAATTCTACAGTTTAACTAAAATAAACTACCAAAAATGCAGAGGCGTAGAGATGGGGTGCGGGGGGGGGACAGATGTCCCCGGGTGCCAGGTAGTTAGGGGCGCCAAAATGTGCTTTGATATTATTTGATTGATGAAAATAATGGGTTTGAGAGTTGAAAAAAAAGAAAAAGGGGGCGCTTTAAAATGGATCTTGTCCCCGGGCGCGAATCTTGTCCCCGGGCGCGAATCTTGTCCCCGGGCGCCAAACACCCTCGCTACGCCGCTGCACAAATGGCATCCGATTGGCATTTAGTCTAATGGGACCCGGGTCCGAATTGCGGCGATGCGTTTCCGGCTTCATTTTGACTATATGCTATTTGTATGTCATTTGTGGTTAAAAATTTTAGTTAAACTAAAGAATTAAGTTTACAAACATATAGCTCATTCAATTATCTTTCATTCGATACCAAAGTTTATCTTACAAACCTAACAATAATATTTTAAACATTTTTTAATCCCAACCTGTCACTTCTGGTAGCCGGGTCCGAATAGCCACTTCGATAAGATAAATGAAATGTAGGCCTATTTGTTACTATTTTCTCTAGAATCACAAGCCACTTCAGAGGCTACATCGATTACTGTCGAGTCCAGTAAGTCAAATAAATTATAAAATGCACGAATTAGGTTTTAAATCACAGCCATTTCACGCCATACCAAACTAAAAACAGCAACACTGTTAAGATAAAAAAAAAATTATAAAACCCCATTTAGGAGTATGGAAGGAACAGCTGCGCCAAGGGTGGAGTGGTGAAGCCATATAATGGGGCTCCCTCGTTTCATGAATAAATGATCATATGCTGCCCTCACACACACTCGTAGGCTTTTTTTAAACATTTAAGATTTTGGCGTGCCCAAACTTCCCCCCCCCCCCCGAACGCTGCCCTCTCTTTGTAAAGACCTGTTAAGGACTATCGAAATGTTGATTAAATTTATTCTTAAATTGTGCGTATTTCATGAATAAATGATCATATGCTTCCCTCACACACACCCGTAGGCTTTTTTTAAACCTTTAAGATTTTGGCGTGCCCAAACTTCCCCCCCCCCCCCGAACGCTGCCCTCTCTTTGTAAAGACCTGTTAAGGACTATCGAAATGTTGATTAAATTTATTCTTAAATTGTGCGTAATTTAAAAAATGTATAGCTTAAAATAGAACTTTATTTCTATACAACAATATGGGGGAAAAGTAGTCTCCTATTGATTTAAACATACATTATTTTAATTTATTTTTTTGTTTTTGCAGAATCAGAACGATTGTCAGAGTAAAGAAAGAGCCCGTCCCATTTAGGATGAGAATTTAAAAGTATGCCCTTAAATGAATCTGTTTAGCCTATCCGGGATGTAAGAAATATAAATATTCTATCCTGACTTATAGGATTATACTTACTCTTTCTTTCTATGTTGTACGATTCTCAACTGAAATAAACAAAAGAATCTAAAGACCAAGGGTGTCATTTCAGGTTTTTTCAAGGGGGGAAAAAAAAGGGGGGGGGGGGGGGAAAAAAATGGCTTCCGTAATCTTACCTCGTAGACCGCGGGGGTTGTCCCTGTCTGCGGATGTGATATATACTAAAACAATGGCCAGTTCCCCCCCCCCCACCCCCAACCCACGGGTGATGACAAGGGTAAGCTCCTGCCAGTGGGAAACGGTTTTCTGGTGACTTTTGCAGCATATTATTCTCTACGATACCTCCAGAAACAGCAGAGTTTTAAATATTTGAGAATCTGTGACATATTACAATAAAGGTCAGTTGAGATACAATACCGCACATGCTGTAAAAAGAACAACACACAAACATTTTTGTTTGAGTGTCATCATACTTGAAGACCTGCATCACGTACCACAAAACACGGAGCCGTGGACGCCAGTAGGACAGCCCTGTCTGCGGTAAAGTTGGGGTGAGGATCGCACTGGTTGAACCCTCCTGGGGGTGGGGGTGACACCGAATGGAGAGACGCTGATTTGGCGGCGAGCTCGCAGTGTTGTTAAACAGATCTGAGTTAAATCCAAGAGCGGCGTGCCACCTTAAGATCATGGTGGTAGCTATGTTATTATTGTGCCCCCCGCCCCCCCCCCGGGAGAGGGTTGTCAGTTGGCGACTCAAAAGGCTTATTTGGAAGTCTGGTGGTGTGACTCCGTGAGTTCACCGCTCTCGGTGACACCAACCCTACTGACGCCACTTCCCGTCTGTTGAGGTGTAACAAAANAGAGGGGGGGGGGGGGGGAGAAAAACCAAAAGTTGGTCAGCTTGGAAAATTGTTTACTACTTGGAGACGCCACAGTACATAGCAATTTAAATAAAACCTGCAAATTCAGGGTTGAGGGGGGGGGGTGTGCAAATGCCCCACCCAACTGACGTCCCTGGGTGTCACCAACTACTATCACTGCTTTCTCTTTTGCATTTGTAAGTAATTTGCAGCAGACTGATTTTCTTATTTCTAATGACCTTGCCAGTTGTTGTTTTTTTTTCGTATGTTTATTCTAAAGAGCTCTACTCACTTAACTTATGGGACTGTGTAGAAATACAGACAAGGAACTCTGTGTGCATCCTGTTTTATGAGAACACCAGAACTGTGCTAATGCTGCAAGCCAACTGATCCTTCATCAAGCAGAGTTATCAGATGTTGGTCTCTCATTAAGTGAGACTGGGTCTCTCATTAAGAGAGACTGGATGGTCTCTTATTTAGAGAGACTGGATTAACTCAAGTCTGGCATCAGCTTGCCTAGAAGAAAGAACTTGAGATCCATATCTCCTCCCAAAAATTTAAACCACTTCCAAGTACTTCTGAAAACCCAAACTTTTTTTTTTTACATTAAAATTTTCATGAATTCATATTTGTTTCCTAAATCGTAGGATTGCAGCAGCAACTTTGTTTTAAAAAATGTAATAAAAGAAGACAAACTAGAAAAAGTGAAATTATTTGTTTTGTATTTCGGTAGCGAAGCATAAAACTGAACATACAACACAGCTGAAATACTCAAACGTGATCCAACAATTATTTTCAACTTCATCTACTTTGACAAATCTATAAGCAATGCTTGGGGGCGGCGACACTGCTGCAGACTTGCAGTCCGACGCCGAGCTCTCAAAAAGTTAATTCAGGCAGAGTTTTTTTTCCAGTGGATGAAGAGCATCGCACAGCAGCTCAAAACATGCTAAAAGTGTGCCATGTGCTCAAAATTGTTAGCTCGTGCCGATGGTTCCTTAATTTCTAAGAAACAGTTTGAAAAGCACATATTTTTTGTAAAAGCTATACCGGGATGTAAAAGTTGACACTTTTAAATACAGATTTATTTTAGCACTTATGAATCCAACCAAACGAAAAATAAAGTGCTTACTTTGCCTTTCACTTTTAGGATTTGTAAATTATTTGAGTTTACAAAACAGCTGATCAAATTATAACAAATAAATAATGAATTGGCTAAAAAAAAGAAAATGAATTAGGAATTAAACACTATTTATTTATTGAATCAATTTTCAAGAAAATTTCAAAGATTAAACACAGTTTTGGAATAAATCACACAAAAAATATTTAAACATATTGACCTAAATGACGTGGATTTAACAGGTGAAAAATGAAACTGTATATATACTGTTGCAGTTCAACAAATGATTATTTGAGCTGTGATTCCTCTGTTAGACTATATTTCCATTCCATAATCAACTACTCCAAAGGTCACTCCCTAATCCCTCAGCCTTTCTGTTTTTTTTTGTACCTCCTATTCTAATAACTTTCTCAAATAGGTCAGCTAAATGTAATTGTTCATCTAACATAAATTGTGGCTTACTTCAATGAAATTAATTAATTAATAAGAAACATTCCACATATAACATATTGTATTCAAGCAAAAAAAAAAACCAACATCATAATAAAATTGTTATGAAATTTAAAAAAAAAATACATTGTTTCATTTTTCAATACCAGTAAGCCATTTTTAAAAAAAAATACTGCTGGAATTTAGTGGAATATGATTGATGGACCATAGCTTAATACGTGTCAACATGGGAGTTAACCATTAGCATTACACGGCTGATTTGAGGAAGTCCCTGACAGGTGTTAGCTCCCTATCCAGCCATTTGGCATTCAGTCTGATGTTCTCAATGCTCTGCTGAACAGTTCTTTCGGCAGCTGGTACTGGATTCTCTTTAAAGAAAGTCTGAAACAATTTTTAAATATTTTACAAATAATTTCCTTTCAATGACGCTGATCAAAGTATAAAAAATACAGAGTGAAAAGATTTTGAAATATACATTTATATTTATAAATCATCTACTCCTATGGTCAGACACGTAAATTAATTTTACAGATTTAAATATACCAATACATGTATATATATATATAATATACAGTGCATTTTGTTCATTAATTGATTAATGAAGGTGGGATTTGGGGGAGCGAAAATTGAGGAAACCACCAGAATCTAGAAAGCCGATTGGGTGAGGTATATGGGGAAGAGGCTGAGCCCCCAGTCCAAGAATTGGATTTCAAAAATTTCAAAATGCAGTGATGCATATACCTAAATTTAGTTTGCAACACTCGACATCAATCCAGACAACAACAGTAGAAATACTATTGGAAATTTAGGTTTCCTTAACCTGAGATTCTTTAATTTGAGTAGTTACTAAATAGTAATATTATTTTAAATAGTTATTTAAGAAATGAGATTGCTAATTTGAATCTTTTTTTTAATCGGTCCAAAACCGGGGCTGGTAGATCAAAATAGAGCATATCATTCAAAGGAGGAGCTTAATCTATATTTTAAATGGGTGTTTTCTCCAAGGATGAAAAGAATCACTAAATGAAGGAATAAATAAGCTCATTTATTACACAGCCGGCAGGCCACAATATTTAACGCAGTGGATTGTATGCCACCTGATTTGTGGCCACCTCTCAATTAAAGAGTTTTAAATTTTCTGTTAAATTTCTTCCCACTTATTACTTTCAAGCAGTTTATAAAACATAAGACCCAATAAATAATAAAATTGAAAAGAAATGTAAATGTTTAAAAGGACATAATAAACACAGACTCCACCAAACTTAGGCCCCGCCCCGTTGCAAGCTGATGTAAATGGCAACAAAGAAAGGAAAGTGGAATATTCTACTCTTCCTTACTTAAACTTAAATAAATTTACATTGTTCAATCTAAGAGGCAGACTGCGCTGGACAAGACATTGAAAGGATGCGGACAGTAGAACAGCAAAAGTGATCTACAGGCAGACAGCACACCAGTTGACCAAGTGAGATGAATCGACGATGTAGAGAAGGACTTACACCAGCTTGGGGTTCGGGCACGGAGGCAGAAAGCCAAGGATCGTTCTAAATGGAAGGATGTGGTGGAGCCGATACATGGGCTGTAGCGCCAATGATAATGATGATAAGGAAACAAATGCTTACCTCAATTTCCTTGGCTTTCTCTTCAGTTACAAATGATTCGGTGGCTGACTGTAAAGAGTAACGAAGAAAGAAATGATTGTTATAGAATCATCCCGATAAAATGAATCTTGAATATTAAAATTTTTCCAGCAGGCATCACTATAAAATGATCAGTAAGACTTTATTACTTTTATGCTCTACAGTTTGACAGAGCAACACTTAAATTGCACTTATCCATTTGAGAGCACAAAGCTATTGACACGACCATGTGTAATATAAAGGCCCGGTTAAAAAGCGTTAACAGAATCACTAGTTATGCTACATTTGACTGAGTCAACCAGAAAGTTATTAAAAAATAACAGATTTGACGAAACATGCAAACTTGACCTGCACCAATCTTGATAAGAGGAATCCCCCTTCATAACGGTCATTTAAAACTTTAAACTGAGCTTTGAAAAACTCCCAGGCTAGTTCCCTGCCAACCACAGATCCTGTTGTGCCAGCAATAACAAACACTGCATCTTGAGACCTGACTTTGCTCTGAAAAATTGAGATTAGTCAAAGGTAAAATTTGATTCCATTAGTACTTGGGGGTATTCATATTTGTTAATGATCTAGTGTTTCATTGATATAACCCCCATAAATACTTGTTCTAAAGCTGAATTTTTGGAGGAAATATTTACTGGGAATAAGTGAGGTTTATTTTCATCTTGAATAAAATTTAAGTTCTAACTTTCTTTTACAAATTTTGACAACAATTTTTAATCTACTCACCTCCATCATTGTTTATAACATAACCTTCCAAAAAAAAAAAGTCAACGGAAGTAGATTGCAGTACTATTCAGTCATTTTTAGCTCCAACTTATAAGATAAGATAAGATAAGATATTTTTATTGATCCAAATAAATGGAAATTTGTTTTTTACATTCATCGTACACATTTCCGCCAGCCCTTGAAATTTTTGTTTGTGTTTTCCGTTGTTCCTGTGGCAAGACATTCGCCGTGTAAGTGTGCGGTATGAATAATTCTTGAATTCTTGAGTGAGAACAGTCTTGGATTTTTATTTGAACGAGGTTTTCTTCTCCAAGATTACGGGAAAGCCTTTTGTTTGTATTCGATTTGTCTAAATAGTTGGTTTGAACTTGCCATTTGTTTACATTTGTTTACAAGATGGCGTCTCAATAGTTTCCAATATGGCGGCTATTGATGTGTCTTGGTGTATGGCAAGGACGTCCAAAAAATCCATGTAATCACTGTTCATCTCGGCAAAAAACACAAGATAATCAGTCAACGGAGATTAAAACAAGGTTTTCTTCTCCAAGATGACGGGAAAGCCTTATTCGATTTGTCTTTAAATAGTTGGTTTGATAATCCGTCAAAGGAGATAAAACACATTCAACACACCTTGATTCCACAAGAAAACATTGTAAAAACCTTTAAACTATTACAAAAGCTGAAAAAAATGTACAGATAAAATCGAGTCACCTGCAGAGCGGCACCCCGGAAGTAAAAAAAAAAAAAAAAATCTCATCCTAAATATTTTTGGTACCATATGATAACACTGGCAGATAATTAAATGGGTGTCTGCTTCTGAGGGGGTTGTACTTTCTTATACCCATTATTATAACTAACCCACCAACGCCAATTTATAACACTTAACCGAATAGCTGGAGAAGTTAGTGTAAAGACCGTTAGAGCCAAAAGTATTGGGGGGGGAAATGTTTGTGATAAAACGGGCTCTATCTGAACGTATTCAATGGTTGTTATTAAATCTGCATAGCATTATAAAATTTCTTTACTTTTGATGAGTGGAAGGAGGAATAAAAATAACAGTGTGATGCATTTTTTTAACACTGTCATCTAAATCCAAAGACTTTGGATGATTGTTACTTACTGATAAAGAAAAGTCCAAAACAGCTTGAATTAGATCTTTGGACTGTACAGATCCCATGGCTCTGCTGATACGAACTTTTTCCTCCTGCATCTCTGCGGCATCATAGAGCTAATGTGACAGACAGTTTTAAAAGTGAGAGCACTTTGGTTATTTAAGGGTGCAAAAATTGCAATCTTGTAGAGTAGGCCTGCAAAACATACGGACCGTGGGCCGCATGCGGCCCGCCAGCACCCACTTTGCAGCTCGCGAAGTAACATTATAGTCTTTATTCTTATTAATTTTTCTTAACAGCTTTCCCCCCTGTCCTATTTTCTTTCGGCCCGCACAAGTTTTTCATAAAGTATTACATTCTGAGTTGTGCAGGCCTGTTGTAGAGTAACTTCACACCAAGATATGGGACTTAACCCCTCTGAGCTGCCTTGCGTCATAAATTATAGATCAAAGTTTCAAGGTACATGTAAAAAAAAATATATTTCTGTTTTGATTTTAATAAGTAAGGATTTAGGATGTAAGCAAAAATTAAGAGAAAAAAAAAGTAAACCTTGAGCATCTTGTCATACGTTTCACTGTCCCCATTGTACAGAACAGTGGTGTAAACCTGAAATAATAATACACAAGTTACAGAAGATCAGAGTTCTGGAATATTTCAAAAACAAAAAAGCCAGCAACAGGAGTAATGTTACCAATAAAAGTTTGACATTATATTAAATTTTACAAGCATTAAAATATCACATGGCAACATGTGAACTAGATACATTATTCTTTCATTTTATTTTTTAAAAATAATTTTTAAGCAAAGAAACGATTTCTGCTCACACATGCACGGAGATCTGCAGGCAGTTTAGCTGTACCATTACAGTGGGCCTCAAACCTCTTTTTGGCCTCTGCTATAGTTGCCTCATCCCCACACCTGCCCATTCTAGTTAGCACGACTTCTCTCAACATTGGAATAAGGGTGTCTGGAAGAACAGTTGATAGCTATTTATTTTGCAAAATGAACAATAAGCAAATTTATTTTGCAAATTAAAATAAGCATTCAGAATCATGTCAATATAAATCTAATAGACTTCTTTGAGCATTAAAATTAATTCATAATACTTGAGACGATAAAAAAACTGGTTTTTTATAATATAAACTAAGTAGGTTCACCAAAAAATTCAAAATAACATTTGAAAATAAATGTTTCATTGTGAATATTTACAATTATTATAACCATAATGCTTCCATGAAAAGATAATCTCTCTAACATCCTTACAGTATAATAATAATTTTTTTAAAAATTTAAATAGTAGCGATTGTCACGTTAAAATATTATCAAGAGAAAATAATAGAATATTGCTTATTCTTTAAAAATTTTGTAATTTAATCATCATAATTAATTAATATTTGTAATTAATGTTACAGAAAATATGATGACTTATGAAGCAAATTAAATTAGGCCTTTACAAAAACATTTTATTATAATTTCACCCAACTGTGGATCCAATCTTACTTAACAATCTCTTGACCCACTTGCCTTCTCCAGGTTTAACACATCCCACCCGACAGTGGCCACAATCTCACTGAACAATCTCTTGACCCACTTACCTTCTCCAGGTTTAGCATCCCACCCAACGGTGGCCGCAATCTTACTGAACAGTCTCTTGACAAACTGTTTGTAAGCTGGATATATGTCATCAGCATACTGGTAGGGAGAAGTAACAGGGGATGCAAATATACAATTAACTATAGCAAAATGCAAGTTCAAACTCAGCATGAAATAGAAGTAAAAGGGAAAACACGCAACCATTGTAATAAATATAATGAATTACTGCAATCTGTCTCTTAAAAGAAATAGTAGTACATTTTTATTTATTCAGGCTGGCTCACAATACATAGACTTCCAAGTACTGTCCTAGTAGCAAAAAAAAAAATGCAACTCCATCTAATATTAAACAATCTGTAAAAACAATGTTTTTTCGTATAAATCCTTTATAAGCATTTTTGTTTGCATTTATGTAATTGTACATGATTTGTTATTTATGTGATTGTAGCAACTAATTTTTGATATGGGAATGGTTTTTATCAAACTTTGTACATGTAAACTCTAATAGACTATTTAAACCCTAATACATCACAAATACCAAGCATATAGCAACAGGTACACAAGTAATCTCTACACCAGAACATGCAACCATTGAAAAAATAAAAAGTATTAAAGTACCAGAGAACAAAACTTGTTTGATAAATGTAATGTCCCATACACATGATTCTGCTAAAAGTTACCTGCAGGATGGTGCTGATGGTAGATATGTTGGATGAAAGGTTGGACCAAACTGTGTAGTCTTTCTCATTTTCAAAAGCTTGGGCAACTTTCAGAGCATCGACAGCAGAACTCATACCAGCACGGGACTGTTAAATTTAAAACAATGGTATTGACATTCAGACCATTACAAAAATTATAATTCAAGTTGTAGGAAGTTGTCAACATTGTTTACACTCAAATACAATAGGACAGTTGAAAACAGCTGGTTTGTCAGGTGGCATTCCTCTCAAAATACAAGTGGTAAAAAAGCAAAATTGATATCTCAAGAGATTACATATTTCTAGTATAAGTATATACAAACATTATTTACAACAATTTTTAGACTGAAATCTATGAGGGCTATCAATGACAAGAGGAACCTTACCCATCTGTTCTTACACATAAAATTAAAAATATAAATAATTGCTGATTTACTGGAGGGAGGGATTCATGAAAAATGTATTAATACTAACCAATGCAAAGAGATCTGACTGCAGACCAAGCCTGTCTTTTGGTGGTAGAGACAGATTTTTGACAGCAGGAATCAGGGCATCCAACATCTCCGTAGGGTACATAACTCTGTACACACCTACAGTCCCAGCATTCAACTGTAAAAGAATATAATTATTTTAATTTGTCAAGGTATCAATTTCCAGGATATCAATTGCAAACACCGCCAAGATATAACACAACTGAGCAGCAGCCAAAGCTTATGTAAAGAAAGTCTTCAGTTTATCTGGCACTGTGTGTAGCCACAGTGGAGAGATTTTCTTTTTTAAATCTTAATTCAATTACAAAATTAGAATCACAGTTATTATCAATGGAAAGTTAAGTCTGACCTTAACCCAGTCACCCTCGGCTGCATTGGGCACAACAAACTCCTTGGTTTCAGTCTCCAACAGCCCCAGGACGTCCGGCTTGTCAGGGGCAGACTGTGTGGATGCCAACACTGGAACCATCCACTTGAAATGGTCGGGTGGAGTTGAACCATCAGCGGTGAACTTGGACTGGCTGATTGTGAGTTTCCTGTCTTTTCCATCTTGTACTTGGCTCACCTGAAAATTTCATTGTTAAGTTATTGAAAAGGTTGCACTTTCATCTTCTCGCATCGGTCAACTTCAAATTACATTTTCCAGATTATTATTATTGCATATTTAAAAATTAACGTCCTTTAGTCAACAAAGGATGACAAAGGAAATTCTTTAATAACTTAGTGATGGGTTATTCTCTCAAACATTTAGTTAGGTCTTTAGCTAACTTATTGAAGGGTTATTCTCTCAAACATTTAGTTAGGTCTTCAGTTAACTTATTGAAGGGTTATTCTCTCAAACATTTAGTTAGGTCTTCAGTTAACTTATTGAAGGGTTATTCTCTCAAACATTTAGTTAGGTCTTTAGCTAACTTATTGAAGGGTTATTCTCTCAAACATTTAGTTAGGTCTTCAGTTAACTTATTGAAGGGTTATTCTCTCAAACATTTAGTTAGGTCTTCAGTTAACTTATTGAAGGGTTATTCTCTCAAACATTTAGTTAGGTCTTTAGTTAACTTATTGAAGGGTTATTCTCTCAAACATTTAGTTAGGTCTTTAGTTAACTTATTGAAGGGTTATTCTCTCAAACATTTAGTTAGGTCTTTAGCTAACTTATTGAAGGGTTATTCTCTCAAACATTTAGTTAGGTCTTTAGCTAACTTATTGAAGGGTTATTCTCTCAAACATTTAGTCGGGTCTTTAGTTAAGAGATAAATGAAAGAATTTATACACATAAATCTGTAAGGCATTTTGCGCCTGGATTTTTTTCTTCTTTATTACATGTAAGACGCAAAAGGCCAGCATTATTTAATATTTAAAAGAAATAAAGTAACGCAGAAGAGTGAAGCTTTACCGAAGACAGAACAAGGCAATGAACTTTTGGAAGGACAAATTATAAATTAATATATAATAAAGAGGAAAATGCTAACCTATATAAGTGACAGAAATGACTACATTATAAATCTATATTTATTGTTTTTTACATTTTTTTTTATCACATACTGATTTTATTTACCATAGTGGGTTATCAAAGACATAACACAAGGAGTTTTAAAATTTAATAAGTAGAAGTTTTCCCACAAGATCACCTTTAGTACAGGAAAGCCCATCTGTTTTGTCCAGGTTTTCATGATCTCACCAACAGGCTTGCCACTGGCTTCTTCCAGGGCATTCCAAAGATGTTCAGTGAAAGTATTTTTGTACTGGTGTCTTGTCAAGTACACATTCATACCTTTGCGGAAATCCTAGTTGAAAAAAATAAACAAATAATACCAGTAAAGTATATTCAACTTGCCAAAGGTCACCGTATTTAGATGGAATCAATTTTTTATAGTTCATCATATATGAAAGTGGTGATTTTAGGGGAAAACGGTTATTTCTGAACTTCCCAATCTTAAGATGCTGAAAGATCACTGAATCCACCTACTTTCAACCAACAACAAGGTGCACTGGTAATGCTGTGAAACTAGTCACAAGCCCCAGATTCTACCAAACATAAGGTGTAATGATAATGGCATGGTGTTAAAATGTGTACTGTAATGCATAGTGCACCAAGGCATACTGGTAATAACATAGTGTACGAAGGTGTGCTTTTCTACAAAGGTGTACTGGTAATGGCATGGTGTAGCAAAGTGTACTAGCAATGGCATTATATAACTTTAGATATCAATTTAAAGTCTAGACCTTGTGAGAACCTGTGATGACCCTGAAGGTGGGAGATTCTGATATTTCATTTTCAATTAATTATACAAATGTAAAAAAAATAATAAAATAAAAATAATTTTTTAAAAATTGTTTAAGAAGTAAAGTTTAAAGAATTAAATTGAAAAAAAAATATGATTAATCTTTAGATAATCTCCTCATCATGGATGAATTGATGAGTTTTTACCACATAAAATTTTCAGCACAAGGGACTTTACATTGTGGCTAACAGTTGATGGAACTCCCAAGTCCACTTGAAATATATTTTTTTTAAATTATAAAAATGTCCTTTTACAAATTAGATCAGATGGCATATGTGACTTATTTCATTGAAACTTTGTATTAATTTATTGTATTGTAATAAAATTATATGATGTAACATATATTTTTTTTATTAGTCAATTTCCAAAAATAAAATTATCTTTCTAAAGTGACACCCAAACTACTTCCTTAAAAATGAACTCTTCACACCTCATCTCCCAGGTATTCATGTAACATCCTAATGACAGATGAACCTTTGCTGTAAGAGATGGCATCAAAGATTTCATCCACCTCTGAAGGATGGCCTACTTCAACCTATCAGTGGATAGAAACAGGAATAATCAACAGCATGCTTTATAATTTATAACTTTTATTCAATTATTTATTAGGCAAAATCTAGTTTTATTATAAAACTGAACTCTTTAAAAGCAAATATTATTTAATGCCATTTAAAATTAACAGCATGTTGGGCAATTTTTGCTCTATCGTGTTATTTGAATCGAAAATAAACTCAGATTTACCTCAATGGGGTGGCTGTTATCCAGAGCGTCCATTTCAAGTGCCTGCCCTAAGTCATTATTGACAAACTGTGTCCACACATCATACTCGGGGAAACAGTAGTCAACACACAGGTACTCGATCCAGGAAGCAAAGCCTTCATTGAGCCACAAGTGTGTCCACCATTCCTGTGTTCGTTGAATTAGATGAAAACAAGGTTAAAGACAAGGATTCATATTTTAAATAACTTACAAGTCTGCAGTTGGGCATTTATTTGCAGGTCACGGATGATCCAATCTTTAACCCTTACCATTGTAACCAAGTTTCCAAACCACTGGTGGGCCAGTTCATGGCCCACAACAAGGGCCACCCACTGCTTGATTCTGGCAGAGGAGTTCTCGGGGTCGACCAACAGGGCTGTTTCTCTGTAGGTGATCAGGCCCCAGTTCTCCATTGCACCTGCCCACAATATATTGGACCATATTTATTTGGGATAAAATTTTTATTTTTTTTGTTCAATAAACTAATTCTCAAAGTTGAGTGCAAATAAATATCCTAATTTTTGTTAAAATATTGTCTTATTTCACTAAAAAAATTAATTTTGTCTAAGACAAAAACACGTTGCCTTGACTAATTCAATAAAATAATTATGACTTCCCACTGAGGTTAATGTAGATTAATAAGACATGAACAAATTGTGTCAATAGAACAATATGGGTTAGCTTTAATAATAATTATACATTATACACAATTAAACGTTTCGGCACATGCCTTCATCAGTACAAACAAACAAAACACATTTAAATAAGTATAAATTAAATTTAAATAATATCAATATACATATGCTACCTAAAACAGAAAAAATATAGGAGAGGGCGCTAAAACCAGACAAAAACAAAGTCAAGAGAAGTAGAAAGGAAGTGATTTTAACATAATTGTAAAAACCAAACAGGAAAAAGACATGGCAGCTAAGTAAAACTATGGATTTGGTTCATTCCATATGGAGACAACGTACCAAATCTAGTTATTAATTTGTTCTCCATATAGATTCTATCTGCAGTGTTACTAGTATAGAGTATGCCAGTAACTACAATATCTGAGATACCATTATGGTTAGGGCTATTGAAATATTTGGAGACCGGACAGAGAGCGTGTTTATTTATGTTATAGAGGTGCTCTCTGAAATGGTCCCCAAGGCGACGACCTGTCTCTCCTATGTATAATTTACCGCACTTTTTGCAATTATGTTAAAATCACTTCCTTTCTACTTCTCTTGACTTTGTTTTTGTCTGGTTTTAGCCCCCTCTCCTATATTTTTTCTGTTTTAGGTAGGATATGTATATTGATATTATGTAAATTTAATTTATACTTATTTAAATGTGTTTTGTTTGTTTGTACTGATGAAGGCATGTGCCGAAACGTGTAATTGTGTATAATGTATAATTATTATTAAAGCTAACTCATATTGTTCTATTGACACAATTTGTTCGTGTCTTATTAATCTATTTTAAAGCTTTATCGCAGTCCAACACTTTTTATAATTAGTTAACTGAGGTTAATGTAACCGAGTATGTTAACAAAGAACCAGCAGCTCACCTGCTGAGAAATCAGCTATGGCAATGAGGTCCACCTTAGGCAGTGGGTAAGCAATGCCAAAGTATTTCTTGTAGAATGGCAGAGTCTTGACTGCAACCTTAAGATGGCAATGTAACATAAAAGAATGAATCATTCCATGACAGTACTAGAAACTGTATTATCCATTAAGAGCAATGATGAAAAGAATTTAACACTGAAACTTGAAAATTAAATTGTTAACAATTCATTTAGAGGGAATGATCTCCTACGTATGAAACAACTCACATCCAGAGCGAAGCGGCCCTGCTCTTGTTTTCCTTTAGGGGTGTAAACACGGACCAAAACATTGTCCTCATCCACCGCCTCCAGGTAGTCATAGTCTCCCACCACAAAAGCCACCAGGTAGGTGGACATGATGGGGGTTGTGGAGTATGTGAACTCAACACTGCCACTACCCAATGGTTTTTCTGAGATGACAGGCTGAAAATGGAACAAAATTTAAATCAATTATTTTACTGTAACCACATTAAATGATATTATAATAATATGAATGAACTGCTGAGAGCTTTGGAATTAAACATTAAAGTCAAAGCACTTCAGCAAGTAATTGAGTATTTTTTAAAATTTATTTTGGGTACTTTAGTAAAAAAAAAACGAAAATTTCTTCAGTCAAGTAAAAAATATATTTATTTGCTAAATATGTTTAGTAAATCTGATAAGAGTGGAGTATTTGGTTGCCCTCATATTCTTATTTTAAAGTTTTCTCAATCAAAGTTTCCTAAAAAAATATTTTTATGAACAAGATGAAATTCTTAAAAATGTTGCAATTAAATATTTTCAAAAGAGCCCATTAACTTTTTTTGGGGTTCAGGAAACTTAACATTTTTATATTTTAGAAATAGTCAAACACCTCTGTTTTAAAAGGAAGCGTTTTTTTCCTCTTTAAAATAAATTTAAAGGGCACTATTCCTTTAAAAAAAAATCGTTTACAATAAAAAAAATCATAGACAAGTAATGATTGATTCAAACAAATTGTCTCTGACATCAAATGAAGCTGCACTTAATTCTTTCTCTTAATATGTGAACAAACAGGCCATTAACAGAAATTATGTATTTATTATCTAAAACCTACCATATTAGACAGAGCTACTTTGCCTTCTGGCACAACAAGAGTTATGTCAAATGTAGCTTTCATGGCAGGCTCATCCCAGCAAGGGAATGCTCTACGAGCATCTGTTGCCTGAGGAAGACAGATTTATAAAATTTTAACAATTAAGATGCTGCATCTTAGAGTGAGATGAATGCTTTGAGCATCAGGAGCTAAGGTAAAAATAACAAATGGTATGCTTATCAATAAATTCTCATGCCCAAAGAGCTTAGTAGGTAAGCAAAACAAAATATAACATACAGTGTAGTAGGGGACAACTGAGGGATCACAAACATTTCCACTAGAACGTCTATGACAGCAGACAAAGATGGAAATAAAGATAAGCTCAGCTGATGGAGTTAGGAAGTCAACTCAAAGTACACAGGAAAGCATAGTAAACAAGAAATCATATGCAACTGCCTGCGAGAAAGTTTCACAAAGAAATCACACAACTTGTGGTACAGATTAAAAGGAAATGTAATGATTAAATCTTTCAAAAGCATATAAAAAAAATATGAGGGAGTTCAAAGGTCATTGTAATGGAGTCCTCCCCATATAAAACGTAGAAAGTAAGCAGTAAAGCCTATTTTTGAAATGCATTGAAGCAGCAACTAAAATTTATGAAATATTCACAAATACTACAAATGTAAAATGGTTATAATAAAAATCAGGCTTACATTTATCCAGGTTGGGGTTTAAACTATAAACCTCAACAAATATATTGACAGGTGATAAAGCACTGCTTTAAAATTTTTAAAAAATGTAGTACCTCAAACTGGGTAACTGCAGCATAGAGCTCTTCTCCGCCAATCGTGTACTTGCTGCGATAGAAACCTTTCATTTTGTCATTCAGTTCTCCGGTGAACTTCAGTGAAAGTGCCCCTTTGCCAGGCTGTTGAGCAGGATAAACATGAAGAATTCATAGTTTTGGGGAGAAAATGCGCACTAAACAAAATACATAATAAACAAATAATTTTTCATCTGGTATGAAATTTGTCATATTAAATGTGTTGCATTAGAATCCAAGCTAGAATATTCTATGTTCTGATTTTATCTCATATATTTTCTCTTTTGCTAACTCGGACTATGCTGTAATTTACTGACATTAGTTTTATGATTTCTATGTTTATTATTTAGTTTTTTGTAAACCTTATTTCCTAATATAAATGCTGATTTACACATTTTAAAAAATCAAAGTTGGACAGGAGCAAACTTGACATGAATTAAAATTCAGGTGTCGCCAATACAAAAAAAAAAAAAAATGATGGGCGTTGCAACAAAAAAAAAAAAATTTAACCTTAATTTATGTTTATTATTTAGTTTTTTGTAAACCTTATTACCTAATATAAATGCTGATTTACACATTTTAAAAAATCAAAGTTGGACAGGAGCAAACTTGACATGAATTAAAATTCAGGTGTCGCCAATACAAAAAAAAAAAAAATGATGGGTGTTGCAACAGAAAGAAAAACATTTAACCTTAATTCAAACAGCTAAAACCAAAAGGGAAGATGAATTAAATCATTATCAATGTTAACCAGGAATATCATCCAGCTCTTCAAAAAATTTATTACTGTACCGTACTCTACAGACCTTTCAAAAAAACATTTTTTTTCTGGTTTGACTTTGCTTTGCCCCATGAAAATAGTATTTTAAAAAATCAATCTTGCTCCTTACACTCAGTTCAGATGGAAACAACAGACCAACTTCTTCATCTTCTTTGTAATACTCCACCTCAGCAGTCAAGGTTGTCTCAGATGATGAATCTGAAGAATAATAAGAAAAAAACCACTAATGAATTAAATGCTTGAGAGATTATTGTGGAAGTAGGATCCTTTAAGCCTTTGTTTGTAATAACACATTTTTTCAGGTGAGCAACAATTACCAAATCAAAATTTGAGGCAGATATTTCACATCCATTTCCTTTAATTAATCATCATTTGCTGCGTAAATAATTTTTATCTTATTAACTAAAAGATGTCAAAATGTTTAGACCCTAAAGAGTTTTTAATTGATCTCAAAGTCAAGTTTTTCTTTTCAGACTTCAAGCTATGCAGTTATACATTACATTCTCTTTGCACTACTCATTTCTTTTTTCTTTCAATGGAGTTTATCATACTGAAAGCAGAGATAAACTCGGAAAGCAAAAATATTTACTGAAAGAAAAAAATTATTGATACTATTTTTTATTATTTTCATCCAGTCAGCAACAGATATCAGGCTTTAAAAGGGGGACTTGCATTAGTCACAACAGAATGAAAACACAAATCATGTCCCTTTACAGGGGTCTCAGGGAGCCTTAGGGTTAATAAACATAATTTGAGAACCAGCATGTCAATGATTTGTTTCTATGGGAGTTTCTAAAACTCGAATAGCCTTCCAAAAAGTAATGTGTATACTCATTATTTATTCTGATCACTTTGGACAGCGATAGTCTTTTAATGGTTAAATGGTAATGTTAACACATATTGAAAAATGCTATGGCCTACAAGTGGCAAACATAAATGCTTTGTTTTTAAATATTGTTTTTTTAATTCTTTGATTTCTAAACAGACCACAAGCACAAATATACAGTGGTTGAAATTATTCCTATACACAAACAAAACAGTACCTTTGTATTGAGCCTCCTGAATAGCTATTTCACAGGCATGTAGCTTCACTTTGGTCACAGGTGCATTGACCTTCAGATGAAAAAATGGATAAACTTTTTTTTCACTACAAAATAGTGTTTTGTCAAAGTTGTGCACCCATGTTTTCTGGCCATGATATTTTAGTCTGGTACCATTGCAAGTAAAAAATTTACAAAATAGACTCTTAATTAAATATTAAAACACAAGCACTAAAAAATGTTTGCTAAAGCACATGAAACCATACCTCAACTGTGACAACAAGAGAACCCTCGAAAGTGAACTTCTTCAAATCTGGTTTAAGGGTCAGTTGATAGTTTGATGGAATCACTGTCTTAGGTAGGCGCTCAAATTTCTTCTTGCTGATAGGCATGGTGGCTGGGTCCTCTAAGTGAGCTGCTGTGGTATAACTGGCAATGGGTATCCCAAGTGATAGAGGTTCTAGTCTATTCACCACGGAGCCTGTGTTGAATAAAGATTAAATAAAGTCTTCACTTATCATACACCAAAGTCAAAATAGAGGGCCAGGTAGTTTTTTCAGGAATGTGATACAAGGGATAGAAAATTAATTTGATCTCATAGGATATGTGTCTATGGCTGGCAGAGATAAGACTATTTGAGTGCACTTAATGTAGCCATGACCAATCTTGTACACCCGATTAAGTGTCATCTTAGAATCTTCATAACATAAACTTAAAATACGAGTCCCAGGCATAGTGCCAATCTGCAGGGGGAAAAAGAATTGTTTCAAACAACGCAACAGTAAATAGTTGCAAAAAAGGGTTTTTGTAAATGTTATTTTCAAACAAGAGTGAGCACATTAATTTGTAATTGTATTTGTTAAATACACACACTCTATTTTATGCGAATAAATCCCATTTAGCCTTAAACGTCTGTGTTACTCTGCGTGAATCTCAACAAGTCAAGGTGAAGGTGACCACACTGCATACCTCTTGAACTACTCTAATCTTAACATATCTGCGTAAAAAAGTGGGAAACACAACAACAGTGAACATATTACCAGTCCAGATATCTTGTTTAGATTATTTTCCTATTTAAAAAGAGTTAGAGCTATTGTATATATAATTTGCTGATTGTAAACCAATGAAGGTGGTAAAGAAAATATAAGACTTTTTTAAATTACAAAAAAAAGTGTATGGATAGATAGCCAGTCTATTAGCTCATTCTATGAACAGCTGGTTTATTTTGTGACAATAGTGACATGAAAACAGTCTTCACATCCCATAGTGACTCAAGGACAGTCTTCACAAGTTTACATCCAAAAAGAAAGGCCCAGAGGATAGGGACATGAGAAAAGTCTTCACAAGTTTATATACAAAAATAAAACCACCGATGAAAGTGACATCAGAACAGGAGAATAGTAACTTAAGAATGGTCTCACAAGTTTATATGTCAACTTTTGATGATGAGATGTCAAAAGTAAGGCCAGAAGGAAGATCTACAAACCTTTATTAAAAATAGGCACTTGTTAAGTAACACTTATCTGTATAGTTATTAATTTCTATTTTCTGATATGATTTCTTGAGTAAAATACAAACAAACCTGCAAAAAGTCTACAGTTAGCAGCAGGCCTACAGCACAGAACCAAAAAACTGGTGGTCACTTTAGTGGGGCTAACTTTAGAGAACAGCCTCTTGTGACTTAGGACAGCAGATGACAGGCGAGTAGTGAACAGAGAACAGGATCTTTGTATAGTTTTATAACAATTAACTGTTCTCAGGCACTGCACTCTCGTTTGTTGAACAAGCATCTGCCTCAATTAGTTCATGGGTGGAAGCTGCTGCTGGCCTAGACTCAAAAGCATAGTGACAAAACTAATATGTATAGCTGAATATATAGAGACTTGATAGTAAAAGAGTGGGCCTTGGTTAGGATACTGTTGATGATAGCAATACATTATACTTTGAAGCTAGCCTCTTAAATCAAAGTTATTTTATAAGTAGACTTTTGAAAAAAGAACAAATGGCAAGTGATATGATTTTCCCAATTATTTCGTGCCATGCTTGAGATTTTTATTTGTACATCTCTAAACATGATTTTTGTAGACTTCCAATTTATTTATTTTTTAAAAATAATTTTAAATGGGCATTTTTAACATATTCAATTTAAACATTGTTTGGTCTTTACATATTGCAGTTAATATTGGATAAAATGAAGCTTAAAACCTATACAAAAATTTTAAGTTACCAGTACATTTGGTCAGTGTAAGAGTAGTCAGTGAATGAGTTGCTGTCAAACAATAGCATTGGGGTATGATTTATCATTGACCGCTAGGCACTATCTGTTTTTATAGCTCTTGTGACTTGTCAGAATCAACAGTGTCAGAGTAGTCAGTGAATGAGTTGCTGTCAAACAATAGCATTGGGGTATGATTTATCATTGACCGCTAGGCACTATCTGTTTTTATAGCTCTTGTGACTTGTCAGAATCAATGATGAGCAGACTTTGAATAAAGTCACTAACAATTAGTGTAAGGAAACATTATTGTTTGGCTTTCATTCAAATGAGTTCAACAAACATACTGTTTACTAACACAAATTATTTTGTGTCTTTTAGCTTTAGCTTTATCTTTATCACACTCCAACCCTCAATTAATTAATTAGTTAATTAATAGACTTTTTAATGGAATGGAATATTTTAAAATTCCTTGAGTCTGTAAAAATACATAATCACCATTTCTTTTGTGTTAAGGGTAAATATAAACCTGAAAAGGCATGGCAAGTATTCTCTTAGTTAAGACTATAAAATATTGTTAGCTCATGGCATTTCCCAAAAAACATGGGTCAGCAAACTTGTCTTGATGAGGGCCCGTCTGGGGGGGGGGGGGCCGATAAGCGGTAAAGGGGTGGGGGGGCCTTATATGCATCATCAGTGCTCTTCAGATAATGCTACCCTGTAACTAGATTTCACCTTTTTTTGTGGGGTGTTTTTATGAAAACTATCCTCTCAACTAAAGTATGTGGTGACAATGACTGAAATGCATAATTTCAATCTCGAACTCAATCCGTTTGTTTGTTAAAATCTGCTGAAAAGGCTTATTCCCAAAACCATTTGCTATTTATAAGTAACAATTGAGGGTTCTTGTCAGTCAATGCAAACGCTGATTATTGTGTGACTTCAAAACCACCAGTAATAGACGGGATGGAAAAAACAACTTCTTGGCCCGTGGGCCGTAGTTTGCCTACCCCTAGGCTAAGCGACAGTACAGCTTCATTTAATGTTTCATGTTATCTCATCAATTGTGCTTTACATTCTTTATTTAGATTATTCCCTTTACTCAAATCCTTCATCTTATTAAGAGGGTTGAGGTCTGAGAGGATTTTATGAATGTTATCCTAGATAATTTACTTTATTCCATACAGCGTTCAATTAAAAGACAGAACTCAACTTTAAGAAAGAGAGTTTGAATTTGACTATTGGTATGGAATGTTCAGTGGTGCTCTACCTTCTCAATTCAAATTATAATTATTCCCTTTAATCAAAGCAGTCACATACATTACTTAGAGGGTTGATATCTGAGAGGGTGTTATGTGTGATATCTTTTAAAATTTTTTTAAACATTCTAGACACCTGGGAGTGGAACTGGAAGCTTTCAATTAGATGATAGAACCTAACTTAAATAAAGAAAGTTGGACATAGATTATTGGCATGGGAAGTTCCTAAATGATAGAATAACAAGCTTCCCAAGGACCATTTAAATTTGTTTAGGCATTGAAATTCAGAGGAAGATCTAGGCTTAGATGGATGGATGAGGTGGGAAAAGATCTACAGCAGCTGGGAATCCACACATAGAAAAGAAAATCATCAGCAAGGTCTAAGTGGAAGGAAGTGGTGAGGAAGACCGAAGCTGCACATGAGCTGTAGCCCCACAGGGATGGATTGAAATTCAGAACAAAACATGCAATTTACACGCTTTTCAACAGACATTATAATGTGCAACATCCAGTTTCTTATGAACTTAAAATAAATTTTATATTTCTCTAAAATACAAAATACATTTTCACGGTCTTTGGCTTAGAGAAATGCAGGCTGAAAGTGACAAAACTCTTAGATTAATGGTTCTCAAACTAGGTGATACCACTGAAAATAATATAGTAGAGGGGACACACAAGAGTTTCATGAATAAGTTTGTTTAAAAACAAAATGTCTTTCTAAATCTTTTTATAATGTTTTTAAGACAATATTAAGTAAAGATGTAAATTCATAGAGATTATATAGTTAATGGTAAGCCATAAACAGGAAAGTCCACAGAAAAGAAGTTGTTTCCTAAGGAAAAACCATGCTGTTTTACCAAATTTGAGCACATTTGAGGCACTGTGAACAGATGGCTGACATATTTTTATATATCGAATACGGAATGCAGAAAATAGTTGCATTCACTTACTTTGGCAATATAAATATCACTGATTGTTAATGGTAGGTTTTCATACAGAAGATTATTTATTTGGATTTTTTTAAACAAATATTTTACAACAAATATATAATGATATTTCTCAGCTGTTTGATGATTTTATTTCAGAGTGAGTTAAACAAATATTTTACAACAAATATATAATGATATTTCTCAGCTGTTTGATGATCTTATTTCAGAGTGAGTTAAACAAATATTTTACAACAAATATATAATGATATTTCTCAGCTGTTTGATGATCTTATTTCAGAGTGAGTAAAAATAAAATGTTCAGCTACTTAGGTAGTTGGTGTAGTGTAATGGAGAGAGATTTTTAAAAATTATTATTAAAACAATCTTTGAGCTGAAACCAAAGTTGAAGAACTCCTAACAAGAAGTTGAGCTACAGAAGGAGGCTTCATATTCAATATTGTTAATCTGCCCTTCACAAGGCTTATGAAAAGTTGAGAAACTTCTTGTTTCCAACATTATATCATGCCATATGAATATGACATTTGATGGAACATGGTTTTAGTGAGCTGTCCAAAATAAGCTCCATGTCAAACAAATAGACTGCAGATAACAAAGTAGGAATTCAAGAGTTTTGATAATTAATAATTGAATTTAAATCAAAATGAGAAACAAGTGTGACTTCATCAAAATCCATAAATCAAAATTAGGAATACCCCCCACCCCCCAAAACCTTCTTTCCTAGATCTTCCGCATGGCCCTGCACCCCAGTAATTGTCAGTAACAACTAATATAATGATGTAAAGGTGGCTGAGTACACTGTTGTCAACTGTAGGTCATATTGAGAATTATAGTTAAGTCCATAGAATGAAACTAATAGTAGTAGCCTACTAAGTAGGCTAGGCGGACTGCAACATCAAACTGGATAAGCCTAACCATGTTCTTCTTAGCCATGTTCTACGTCTATGCATAATTCAGAATAGGCTAACAATGAATCAGTATTCGTTAATTAACTAATACTAATTGTAACTAATACTTTTATGACTTTACTTATGAAGAATTTTAATAAAGTTATGACTTGGCCAATTTGACTTTTTAAGCTTATTAATTTTTAGTATTTTATTATTAGTTTATTATAAGTGTTAAAATTATAGGACATGTGTGAAACAAGTATAGGTAAAACATAAAAAAAGAGCGCAACAAAACAACTAATGTGTTGGCAATATTTTTTATAAGCCTTATTCAGCAAACAAAAAAAGTCAAAGACTAACAGAAACAGTAACACAAATATAAAAACATTTGGCTGATTCAGACTATTCGCACCATGACATCCTTATGAGTTTTTGTTAAGTTTCTGCTTTTGATTCACTCATCTTGTTGTTGTTACTAAGAGTTACATTTTCCTAAAATTGACTATGGAATGTTTTAAATTAAAATTTTATTGGTTGGTTAATTATAATTTTAAAAATTTCATGGAACGGGTAATTATAATATTTTAATTTTTCCGCCATTTTCGAAAATGGGTTTGATATTATTATTTTATTTTATTGATTTTCTGACAACTTTTGGATTTTCTTTTTGGTGGAACCTGAAATAAAGTGTGGAAAAGTCTATTCTATGAAATTGTAAATTTGGTTTCCATTGCCATTATTTTAGAATTAGTTTTTATTGTTTTTGTTCATTTTTATAGTTTCTTACCACAGTGTGTAACTTAACTGTAGTACACTGTAGCTGTAGCAGCACACAATGTTTTTTACTTGAAGTTTAGGCTTAGGGTTAGTTTTAACTTTAGTTTAGGGTTTGGGTTAGGTTTAGTTTTAAGGTTCAAGTTAGGCTTAGGGATAGTTTTAGGATTCAGGATAGGTTTAGGGATAGTTTTAAGATTTTAAGGTTAGGTTTAGCGTTAAGATTTTAGATGACGTGTGTTGTTGTTTTTTTACACTGCCGCTATTTTGGTAACATGATCCGTGAACTTTCACGGGGGTGGGGGGGTGACAACCAAGCTGACAGCCATGTGATATGTCAAGGCGCCGGATGGTCTAAGTCCACATTACATTTTATTTTTATTAAGCTGAAATGCTGTAATCACTGTATTTGTATACTGTATCTGTATCCCAGAGAACAGAAAGAGAAATAAGTTCTTTTGAGTCCTTTTTCAGGTTTTACCATGTCCATAATCATTTATACTTTGTCTTTGAATTGATTGCCAACTTATTTCACTTTCACTTCTGAATCATTTTGCCTTGCCTTATAATTCTATTGCTATCTAGCAGTAGACAAAGTCTAAAGTTAAAGTAAAGGTGACAAAGCCAAAGCTCACTCATACTAAAAAGCCATACCCATTGCAGTGCAGTTTCTCCCCCTTATTAACATTAAATTATAGCATGAGAGGTCTTAAGTCTATATCAACATGAAATTA